TTCATCATTGTGTATGTGTATGTATACGTATGTATATGTATATATATATATATATGTGTGTGTGTGTGTGTGTCTGTGTGAGTGTCTGTATATATATTCTCATTATCCTTATCCATATCCATATGTATATATTCATTTTTTCATGTATGTATATATATATATATCCGTATATACATATATATTTATGCACATATATCATGTATATATATATATATATATAATATATATATATATAAATATANATATATAGTATAATATATATATATATATATATATGTAATATTTAATAATGTTTTGAATGTATATGTGAGTATTAAGTTGTCACTTCTGTCGCGTATTCTCGTCATCGGCATCGCCCTTTAGTTTTTATTTGTTGAGAATTCCTAAGCTGTATTTATCATCACATCATTCATCTATGGGCCTATATTGGCCTCCATGTTCGTATGTTTGTGTTTACATCACTGTGTATAGGCTCATATATATTTCCGCATGCCATGTGTGTGACATTGGTCACGGGTGTAGACTTTGTCTATGAATGACTATGTCCTCATTGGGTAGTGCGAAGGACTTTTTGCCCAAAACCATTTCGTTCACATCGTGGCATCTTGAAGTGTTGAATCCTCCTGACGCTTCACACAGGGTTTAGGGTTTTTAGGATTTCGATATTGTGGAGACCACCTGTGCAACGGCATTTCAGTACCTCTACCTCGATACGTTCACTCACTCACTCACTCACCCACTCACCCACTCAATCATTCACGCACTCACTCACTCACTCACTCACCCACTCACTCACTCCCATATTCCCCCCGCCTGTCTGGCCCCGTGCAGGGTGTATGGACCAGCATTGGACGTGGCTGTGGGTGGTGCTGCTGTGTGGTGAGTTGCTTCTGCTCATCAGTCTCTTAGCCACCACAGCCGACTACTTCTTTGTGCCTGCGCTGTGTGTCATCGCGCGTGCTCTTCGCCTGTCGCCTTCTGTGGCTGGCATTACACTGGTTGCATTTGGCAATGGTGCCCCCGATGTGTTCACCGCGTATGCTGCGCTGCATGGGCAGGTGAGTGTGTGCATGTGATGGCACTTCAAGTGTAGACTGTTCATTTCATAGACAGGTGAGTGTGTGCATGTGATGGCACTTCAAGTGTAGACTGTTCATTTCAAGGACAGATGAGTGTGTGCATGTGAAGGTACTTGAAGTGTACTCTTCTTATGGACAGGTGAGTGTGTGCATGTGATGGTACTTGCAGTTTAGTAGTGTATGTATGACACTCTTCATTTCATGGACATGTGAGTGTGTGCATGTATTGTTACTTGAAGTGTAGTAGTGTATGTATGTCACTCTTCATTTCATGGATAAGTGAGTGTGTGCATGTGATGGTACTTGAAGTGTAGTAGTGTATGTATGTCACTCTTCATTTCATGGACAGGTGAGTGTGCGCATGTATTCTTACTTAAATTGTAGTAGTGTATGTATGTCACTCTTCATTTCATGGACAGGTGAGTGTGTGCATGTGCCGGTACTTGAAGTTTAGAAGTGTATGTATGTCACTCTTCATTTCATGGACAGGTGAGTGTGCGCATGTATTGTTACTTGAAGTGTAGTATTGTATGTATGTCACTCTTCATTTCATGGACAGGTGCGTGTGTGCATGTGATGGTACTTGAAGTTTAGTAGTGTATGTATGTTACTCTTCTTTTCGGTGAATGTGTGCATGTATTGTTACTTGAAGTGTAGTATTGTATGTATGTCACTCTTCATTTCATGGACAGGTGAGTGTGTGCATGTGATGGTACTTGAAGTGTAGTAGTGTATGTATGTCACTCTTCATTTCATGGACAGGTGAATGTGTACATGTATTGTTACTTGAAGTGTAGTATGTTCACCTGAGAATGGCTGTTGGTGTGGCTGTGTGTGTGTTCATATGTATTTGTGCTTCCTTCCAATTCATCTCGTGGTGGGGTCAAATTGAAGTCTTGTGTGTGTTCATATGTATCTGTGTTTCTTGTCATACCTATCTGCCCCTTCGTTTATGTCTGTGCCTTCGTATGGGTTTCCTCAGGTGTAAATGGCACCTGCAAAGCTGACAAAGGACATCCAAAGAGTGTCACCACATCTAGTTGTTGTATTGTTATGTGATACTTTGTTCTTATCTTATTCATTGTTGTCTGTTGATTCATTAGTGTCTTCTCATTGGTTGCAGGGTGATATTAATTCATTAGTATCTTCTCATTCATTCGTTGCAGAGTGATATTAGTTCATTAGTATCTTCTCATTCGTTGCAGGGTGATATTAATTCATTAGTA